TTTTTTTTTCCCCCCCCCCCCCCCTTGAAAGATCTCTCTCTTAACCGGTGATCACTGCGAAAAAAGCCCTCCAAGTACAGAAGATCAGTTTTTTGCTGCTTACCCAGGATGAACTGATTTACGAAGTGTTTTGAGGACACAATATCGATGCACCCAAATTCAGGTCTAATATAAAATGGCCGATCCTCATTTTTCATCTAACCTTGGTCACCTCTTTTCTGACTTTTACATACATAGCTATGGGCTTATCATTCATTTTAACAAAACTAGATTTCTCCAAACACAGTACATTTTACCCGGTGTTGGACTTATTTATCCATTTTGATGTAATATTTCTTCTCACATCCTACCCATACAACATTAAACGAAGCTCTAAGCAGCATTTCACTTCAAACGGCATCCTTTTGTCACTTATCTCAGAACACGCTACTGACTGGCCTAAGAAATCAGTTAAGTATAAAAATTTCTATCACTCCGTTTCTCTGCTTTAGGTGGTCTTAAATGCAAATGACAATTTTTTAATTTTGCCTTAACCTTAATCTCTTAATATGTCTCGCTGCTTGGACTCAAATGTTAGTCATAAGTTACGTTATAATTTTTTATTATATGAGGCAAATAAACAGAAACCGTTTCTCCTAGCTCTGCTACAGCCCTTATTTACGTTGGCTGTCCACTGCAAACGATTCTGTACTCCCAAATGTTTCCCAATTATTTATTGTATTCACTGCTATTCGCGTTCCACTTGGTTTTTGGCCTATGGTATGTCACAGTTCCTACACTTCTATTTTATTTCACTTTTTTTTGTAGACACAATCATCTGAACATCACATGAACATAACGTGAACATATTCACCACATTACTGATACATATGTTGCAGTGGCTCGTTTATTTCGCCTAATGAATCACTACTGACGCTAAAGACTGATCTGTCACACTACTGACAAAACCTTGTCATCTGTTCACATTTATATCATTCTTTCAGTGGATGGATTAAAAAAAGCATGATGACTAACCTGTGACTGTCTGTGGAGAAGTCGCATACATCCTAGTTCTCCAATAAACGCTAAGAACCCGAAAGTTTTAGTACCCGGAAGCCATTAATTTCAACGTAATGCAGATGCTTGAAAGTGCTGGAGTTTTGCCGAGTGGAATTTTTCGCCTCGAGACAAAACACAGTTAACAAATTTAAAAGTAAATGCTAAACGTTTTAAAATTTATTGGTAGTCTTTTAACTGTATTAAAAGGTTTTTTGGAAGGATGAGTATTCAAATATAGTCTTTACATGTAAAAAAAAGGATTTTTTTTGTTTTATTAGAAGGGCTGTGTACGGTGAATTCTACTGAAAAATCGCTAAAAATTTATAGAAAAATTTGTTAGAAATGCATTTTTTTATTCCTTTAATATAAAGACAAAAGTAATTTTTTTTGTTATATACATTGTTTACTGGATAATCGTTACTTGTAAGGTAAATAGTACTTAATTTACTATGCAGCTGTTGCAACTATGACATATTGTATTGAAAAATTGTTGGATGATTGTCTTAACGGGTGAAGCCTCTAAATTATTAATTGAATATTTGCAGGTTAAATATTGTAGCTATGACATCTATAGAAATTACTGGTCCAAGCGAGGTAAAATCATACTTTTATACTGGCGAAGAAAAGGTTACTGAAGACAGGGTGGTGGTTCCTGGTGCCAGTGTTAGTTCTTCTGTCAATTTTATGAGGTTATTTTTATAAAAATTTTAGCATAGTCGCCTAAAATCTTCAGCAGTTTAAACTTGCGTTCAACAATTGAAGGCGCAGTTTTTGCAGAAATCGTATTTCGTACTACTCTACTTATTACTTTTGTTTTACAGTTTTCTGAACTATTTTGCTCTTCATACGGGACTATTTGAGTGTTGTGAACAGTTACATTATCTTTTGGTAAAAAGAACTATTCAAAATTTGTAGGGGTCACGGAACATATTTAGAAGGATCCCAGTTGTTGGCGTCAGTTGCTGGAGCAGTATATCAAGTAAACAAACTTATATTTGTGCAGCCGCTGAAAAGCAGGTTTGAAAGAGTCTGCTTACTTCCCTTGATCTGAATTTTTCAAATGTTTGGTACTTTTGATAAAACTATTGCTTGTATATTTCAATTATCTGCCTTTGCAGAAGGCATCGTATATTTGTGTTTTTATTGGACATTTTGGAATATGATTATCTTTGAGGAATAATGCTTTCAGCATTTCAAAGATTTACCGAGTTTCTTGTAGGGTAACGATGTATAATTTATTATAGGTATAATGGTGAAATTGGTGACGTAGTGGTTGGTCGAATAGTTGAAGTGCAGCAGAAAAGATGGAAGGTAGAAACTAATTCACGGCTTTATTCAACTTTAATGCTCTCTAGTGTAAACTTGCCTGGAGGGGAGTTGGTATGATTTTCCGGTCCCTTTCATTAATCGACTTTTGCTTATACTCTTTTGAGACATTTCACCATTCAACAGTCGTCGACTTTTTAGAGAAGGAAATCTGTAGAAGATGAGCTTATGATGCGAGAATACCTAAAGGAAGGAGATTTGATCAGCGTATGTTGACAATCATTCCTTAATTTGAAGCCTAGATGCTGGCTTATTATCCGATATGAAATTTTTTATGTTTAGGCAGAAGTTCAAAAAGTTTCTTCTGATGGTCAACTACAGTTACACACGCGTAATATGAGATATGGAAAGGTTCACAGTTTCTTTTGCCAGTGTTCCTTCGTTATGCTACAGTTAAAGAAATGTAACGGCTGATTAATTATGCAGAATTAAGTTTTAATTTTTCACTAATTTTTCTTTCTTTAAGCTGTTGCAAGGTACACTGGTAAAAGTTTCACCGTGCCTAGTAAAACGGCGGAAATCTCATTTTCATACTATGCCACATGGTGCTTCTATTATCTTGGGACGCAACGGTTATATATGGGTATCTGCTGTCGTGTCTGAAGAGGAAGGATTGACTGGTGGATACGCACAGAACCTAGATGAGGTTTATTCTCACCATTTTTAGTGTAGACAAAAGTATGAAGTTCTTTTAGTTTTGTAGACCATGTTAATTTTTCCAAACCTTTATTTGCACTTTGAAATAATAATGGTTTTTATTTTTTTTTTATTTTTTTATTTTTTTTGTTTATTGAAATTCGTTAAGGTAGTGCCGCATGAGACGCGTTTGGTTATTGCAAGATACACGAATTGTTTGAACTTGCTTGCGCGCCACCAGATTTCTCTCTACGACACCACAATAAACCTTGCTTATGAAGCGTCTTTAAATCATGAGGTGACACCTTTTCACTTGGTTTATGTTTATTTCTGAAATTGGAGAATGTAAGGCTACTATGGGCCATAACAAGACCTGACATTTGTGTTACACCTTTTAAATTTACTATCCCTGCACGAGAGATAGTTCATCAACTGATAAGCAAGCGTATATTGTTTGACTTGGAACAGCACGTACACTACAAAATTCTTCTTTAGAAATTTGAAGGATTTATTTGATAGCTTCGTCGTTTAACTGCTCAGTATCCAGAAAGCTTAATATACAAATAGTAATTCTGCCTAGTAGTTTAAAATCTTATGATTTTAGGCTATTTTGAGAACAATAAAAAGCCGTTTTCAACTTCTGTTTAGACTTAAAGAATGTTATCTAAATTTTAATTTTAACGGACCGTCCATTCAAGGAAACAGTTTAGTACAAAGGAAGGTTCTTTAATAGTGTTTAAAATTTGACATATAATATTTAATGTAAAGGTTAGGTTAAAGCAGAAATTAAAAGAAATATGAAGTAACATTTTATACAATCTCATTTGCACTTATTGGACTTCAAATAATTAGTGCAGAATCCTTGTCGAAAGAGCGGCAAAAATGCCTTGAGTAGAGTTTATTTTAATGTCTTTTTTGGGTTACATAAAATTTTACAGTTCTTCACTTTTAAGCTGTCTTATTTGCATTAATTTTTTTTTGTTAAGTAAACAAGTATGTTCATTTTCTTGTACAGTACTGCAAAAAAGCAGTGTCTAAGATCTCGATAAATCATTGTTGTGTGAGAAGCACATGCTGGTGCGCAGTGGCCGAACACCTTAAGATAATTAGTAGAAATGTGAGAATTGATTTACTGCTATATTAAACCGTTCCTTATGTAAATTTTTACTGGAAACTATCTAACGTAGTTTTTGATATTGTGAAGTACTCATTTAATATTTGAAGCAGTATAATACATTGCCTTTGCTTACTGTGCATTTATTTTCCAAAAATATTCTCCCATAAAACCGATGTGAAGCTTCTCGTTCTTGATGTTTAGCAGAGACATTCTTCCAATAATTTTTTTTATTGATTTGAACTTGCTTAAGTGATGCCGTTAACATACGAAATTAGTGTACTTTTCGCATTTTTCACCTGCTTTGGTGCCATATGTCTTTGGATGTGTTGGTTTCCTCCGTTTGTTCTCACTTTTCTTCGTCTGGGTTTGCTCTAGACGGTCATTAAAATTGAAATACACTACGATAAATGGGTGGGGAAATTTTTTAGATTTTCTTGGGCAGAAGCTTCCTTACTTCTCGATTTCATAGTTATGCCGAGAGCATTCATTTGATTCCTGCTACCAAGTATAAATTAGCTTAGAAATGTTGAAATATATTCCCCAAAATTTGCTTGAGGAATTATCAATGCATACAGCTGAAATAAGGCTTTATGATCAGTCAAAGAAGAAAGCTTTTGTGAGCGGACTTTCATGCTTTTGCTAAACTTTTGAGGATGCCTTGTTTGTTAAATAATGAATTTACCTCACTTTTTCTGCAAATGCAAATAACATTTATAGAGTTGAAGAGAACATCGAAGTTAAGTGACTTCCTAATTTCGTAAAGGCTTTTTTAAATTGTTCTGGCTTTTACAGGTTAGAGACTTGTTGAAAGCTGACGTTATGGCCGAAATAGCATACGATGTTCAACAACAACTAATGAAGAAAGTTGGAGAGATGTAATTATGCTGTTGAAGACGTAGGTACCAGACGGCTGTTCTTTACTTTTGTTTGTTCTTGGAGAAACTTTTGATCATAATTTGACTGCCTTGAATCGATTGTTGTATTAAATTTGAATATTTTTGGATCTCATATATTCCTTAGAGTTCGGTCTTATTTCATTCCTCGTGTTGATGAGTTACGTGAAATTTTTTATCTTACAAAGTAATTTATTAGTTTATGCAAACCGAAGTTCAAGAATGAAGCAAGCAGATTTAGGTTTTCTGTTATATGTTTCAAACCTCTACTTCATCTAGAATCACGTTCGCCATATACACTATGTGGTGATGAACACAAAGTGTTATTTCTTAGATCTTTTTGGTTTGTTAAGTTTTTCAGTCGTCAGCCTTCAATTTCTTCGCTGTTATGTTAATTGTACCGTGACTTCATCGTTTTATATAAAATTAGTTTTACATTTCAGAAGTATTGTTTCCTTCTTTTCTCTCTCATTT